TGATTGCAAATATTTGAAGACGCAAAACGAATAAATATGTGAGAATATGACAATGAATCAAGGTCACATTTGACCAGAGTTGCAATGCTTTTAGATGAAAAAGATTTGCCATTGAATTTATGAAATTACGCCATGCTGACATTCTTTACACATATTTCTACTCCTCATTTATTTTCTTACGGACTCCAATTTGAAAATCTTATTCAGTTAGTAAAAATTTGAGAAGCAACAAAAGATGAGGTGTTCCGAAGTGTGGGAGGTTTTATCATTTGCTGTTTAAGATATAGGCACCGTAGTCTTGGCTGAAAGATATCATTGACTGATTTCAGTAAGAGCAAATGCGGTAACTAACCGATGACGGTAGGTTCAAGATCGATCATAACAGCGCGAGGCACGTGACGACCAGATCCAGTCTCCGAGAAGAATGTTGTGAAGGAGTCATCACCCCCACCAACACTCTTGTCTGAGGGCATTTGACCATCGGGCTGAAAGTTTGGTTCCATTCTTGTCTATATTTTGGGATGTTGCATTGGGAACGCGTTTGATTGACAGCGAGATCAATTATAAAGTTTGGTGTATCAATGAAATCGCTCTGTTTCAATCTTTAATGATGCTTCATTCCTAACTTCTGCTTCCTTTCAAGCTGAAAGAAATCCGCATCCATCTTAAAATGAATTCGATTTTCTCGAAGTCAAACTTTCAGTATAATCAACATAATTTTGGCCTCTAAGTTTCAGGATTCCAAGGTTTGCGTATTTCGTAGGTCTCTTCATCTGTTCAAATGTTCAAGTCAACTGAAGGACTGTGTCGAGTGTTTTTGAGTATTCAAGAACAATTTACTCGTCAATGATTATCAGATGTACTTTCATTGATGGATTTTGCAGTGCATATAACGTATTTTATCGTTTGCGCTTAATCAGTCAAATGAATAAAATATCTCATTAAGCGAGAACTCACTGAAGAGATGCTGACGAAATGGAAGGATTATACCCACAGAAGCACTTTCAACTGAGATGAGATTAACTCTTCGAAAAAAGCTTTAAAAAATACTTCACCACCATATTGAAGATATTGACATTGTCAGACAAAATTCTTGCTTTTCAAGCCAAAAATGATGCCGTGAATTGGAAAGTCGTGAATTTCGAGGTACAGGAGAGGCTTTGGGGAAAACTTCAAGTTTTGATCCGATAATGTGCAAAAAAATCGACTCAAACGGATGATAAATATTGCCGCACCTGAATGCCATGCTCAAGACAGTACAACTCCCAGCAGGCATTGCCAATCTGAACACCTGCCTGTCCAATATGAATCGAGATCACCTCACGCTGAAATTAATTGCGTGACTCTTGATTGATTTCGAGCAAAACTAATTTAAGTAAGTGAACAAAATGGGCTGTAGAGCCCAACCAACCATGTTGCCTTCGTCGCCTTCGTGAGACCAATTCGACACGACACTGAGCTCAGCTAAATCCGCTTTCGGGTTCCATTTATTCAGTGCAGTTTGCTTCTCTGACACCTCCTCCCCTCCCACCCTCAATCCCTCCCTTTCCTTTCTTTCTCCGAACCCTCTCATTTATTCACCATATTTGGTCAGAATCGTTCGTTGCTTAATAATAATCCTAGTTTGTCATTGGTTTATTTCTTTCTGAACATCGATATTGGATTGGCTGGCTGAGATATGAGAGAATGAATGAGATATCGTGCAACTACAAGAGAAACAGAGAAGAAGATAAAAGCGAGAAATGGAACAAATGCTATGCAGTGGAAGATTAAGCTAGGCTTATTTTGATTAGCTGCTGTTAATTGAGCTGATGGCTGCACAGAACAGGCTCGGCTAGGCGTTGGAGCAGGACCCAGGCTTTTGAAAGAGTGGAGTATGGATGAGGCAAATGCAAAGCAGAACATGTTATGCATTAAAGCTGAACATGGCCGAAATAATACTTTGTTGCTTTGCATTATTTTCTTCGATTTCGTTCGAATGCAAGCAACCACTATCAGATGAATATGCCTTAACCTCAAATATGAACATGAACTAAGAAGAATTGAGTGTATCAATAATACTGTTACAGTGACAATATAAATACAAGAAATTAACTCTATAAAGGTTATCTATTTAATACATTCATCAATATGCATACAAGTGGCTTATTCCTTTCTTTCTCTCTCTCAGTACTAAAACACTTACACAATTGTAATCAAATCGCCTCGAGACATATCTAAATTGGGCATGGATTTGGGNTTAACTCTATAAAGGTTATCTATTTAATACATTCGTCAATATGCATACAAGTGGGTTATTCCTTTCTTTCTCTCTCTCAGTGCTAAAACACTTACACAATTGTAATCAAATCGCCTCGAGACATGCCTAAATTGGGCATGGATTTGGGTTTGGAACACATCTAGGACCATATCAAATTACACGAAATGAGGGGAAGGGGTTTAAATGAGCGAGTACGGTACTGGAAATATCATATGTATGAATATGAGACAGCATATCTCTAATGGATGATGAAACAATAGCAGCATTTTAGTGGAGAGGAATGGAATCGAGCTGAGTACACAATACAAATATTGGCACGAATATCTACCTATCTCATATATCATGGTTTATTTGGGAATGGAATAATCGAGTGTAGTGCTGTTCGAATGAGGCTGAAGAAACCCTAAACCTCATATCCTATGTTTCGCATAGCCCGCTTGCATTAGATATCCATTCTTGCTGAAGAGTCCAACCCAATCAGAAGTGGAGAAGATATTCCAGAAGCTGAAGGTTTCAGAGAGTGTTTTCGAGAGCTTTGCTCAATGTGATTCGTCGTATCTATGCACAGATTCTGGACAGGCTCTCTGATCTGAGACTGCTTCGAGGAACATCTCTCTTATTTACTGTAATCATTGAACTACATCTCGAAAATCTATCGTCTGATCGGGTTTTCAATATCAACGAATATTTCTGATTCAGAACTAACTTATTCGTTGTTTATGAAACCTGCTTAGCCGACTGGACGAGGTCCTTGTGGTGACTGTTACGGTTATGTTCATTTATGAATCATGCTTTTACTTATCCTTCTGATAAATACTCACAATCTCTAACTATCAATCGAAAGTCGTTATTGTCAGTGATCGTGAAATATATCCTCATCCAGTTTAATTTGTATCATTCTAAACAACACTTTGATCAATTTCTCCGATTCGTCTCCGATAAAGGTTAGAGCAAATGACTCGAGCAAATATGGTACTTCTCTCTTCAGCACACTGTTTTGCGGGTAATTCTGAACGAAATTCTTCGAATACTAAGCCTTTACTAAAGCTATGCCTTTTTTGTTGTATTGATTCAGCCGTTCACTATTTGGAGTGCTGTTTCACTGTTATAGCAACTCATTTGGGTAAGACGCTTGATTTTGTCGGATGCTTTTGATGATTTCATAGTTCAACACATAATTAATTGCATTTGCAACGAAAAAGATGCCCTTCAATCCCTCAATAATGTGATCAGCTGGAACGATTGTAAATGAAATGAATGAATATTGCGAAAATGCTGTTTTATGTGTTTGTGTGTGATTGAGTTTCATTATTTTCTCTTAACAGCAAATTAATTTAAAGTCTTTTTCTTATTTGTAAATGAATTTTTTGAATTACAAATTCTTTAATTTTTTCTGCAGTCCATCTCTTGAGTTGATTGTTTCGTTGACTTTTTTAAAAGTCAGATTTTGGTTTCTGTTTCTTCTTTTGTGTTCTTTTTGAGCACGAGAAGAGAAAAAGTTTCGAATGAATTCATTTCGGAAATATTTATGTGAGTTCATCGCTCCATTTATCCTTCTGGAATGGTTGTTGTCTCAAATGCTGCTGCGCACAACAAAACGCATTATCTCAAGAGAGTTTATTCGAGATGTCTGAGAAAAGCGATTCGATTCGTTCTGATGAATGGGTTCATTCCTCTCGCGGACCGATTTTTAGCAATTTCGTTTCATTTTTATGTGAACATGCTAGAAGATGCGGCAAAAAAGTAAGAATCAATTTCTGACTCTTCGTGTTGCATTTATCTTTTACTTTTGAGAGGCGCTCAACGAACCCTTCAGTCGGGTTGACGATTGACACCTATAATTAAGGTTTGAGCGATTAAGGCTTGTTCAGGTCATAAACAAGAGTGGAACACTAAACTTTAATTTCGTATTCAAGATAAAGCAAAACGGTAAGTCATATGCGAGCTTGAAAGAATTCGATTACTCGTTGTTTTTTACATCGTTCATTAAAATTGCATCAGTCCAAACTGAGAAACAAACGAACTAATCGGCGCATCATCGCTCTTCACACTGCTAAATGTTCTCGCTCTCATCAGCGAATTAACTGCACACAGCTCTTTATTAACAGTTTATCACGTCTCATGAACGTTTTATCCACTTCTACGCCTGCATATCTGAGCTCGCAATGAAAAATTCCAAAAATCGGCAAATTTCTTAACGAATATCAAAATTCAGTCCTAAAAGGAAATGGATAAATCCCATTTCGACTTCCACTCAATCGGATCTGATGGTGAAAATTCGAATAATTCTCAACTCATTTTCAGATTTAGAAAGCACTTTTGGTGGGGTAAATGAACAAATTTTTGGAATGAATTCGGTATTCAGTTGATCGTTCATTAAAAATAATGTGGAAAATGATTGGGCAATGTATGGAAATCGTGCATTAATTTACATTATTTTTTTGAGCCAATAATTGCTCTTCTTAAGAGGTTTCTTGACTTGAAATGTGAGGAATACGGAGTGAAAGATGAGTGTAACAAAGAATCAAAGAAAGTAAACTATTCAGAGGGACAGAGAAGGAAGAAATTTATTTTAACGATGCATCCGATTCGTCGATACTTCTAATGAAATGCAAACAACATCGAATTGGTAATGGGTATTTTGTTCTATTTGATATTGAACGTTAAAAAATACAAACAAACACCATTTATTAATATATAAGCATAGAGAAATGTTTTTACAAGGATAATGATTCGATATATTCAGCAGGCTGATTCGTATTCTTTTTCTTTGTTCGCAAACAATTTCATTCCATCCACCTTCATTCGCTTCTTATTTCAGGTTTTTCTGCCGAAGCATTCCTCATCTGTTGATGTTGTTGCCCTTCTGAGGAGAGTCACTGACAAAAAATAACAATTTTCATTGGTTTCACGTAAATAAATGGATAAGAATGTGTTTATGTGGAATGTGCTCAACGTTACGTTGAGACACGGATAGAAAGTATATCGTTTGAGCGTATTCCGACGGTAACTTGAAGGTAATTGGAGCAATGTCTTAGCTTCAGTTTGAGGAATCTCATGATGATGACGCATAGAAGATGAAGTATACTTCAATTTAATTTTGCTCAAATGGACCTATATTTATCATTCAATGTAACAACATCGTGCGCGTAGTATATTAAAATGGTATATTATTGATAGATAATTAAGAGAATTCATAGAAAACAACTTTTCAAGTATCATGAATATCAATGAATAGTAAATTTGGTCTCGACTCACGCATTTGCTTATTGATAGTTTTCTTTGGGCATGCGCATATATCTCTTTCAAGCACATCGGCATCTGCATTAGCGTTATTTCATTTGCGAATTTCATTAATTTTCATTTCACTTTTCATTCGCAAATCGATTAACAACCACAAAGCGATGTCATGTGCAAACGAATGTAACTCGATCTGTATAATACGCCCAAATAAAATATTAAAAGCGACTATCAAATGTTGCTAAAAGTGCATCGAATATAAATTCATCTCTCCGTTCCAAAGCTATCTTCTCGAATTCACAGTAAAACCCTTTTTCGAGCAAACCTCATTTTACGACATCGACTCATTGTTTATGTGCGACGATCTTCTTCCCCTTCAACACATCACTCAGAACCGAATGCATTCGTGAACACTCAATGTTACAATGTTCGCAGTGAATTTATAGTCTTAAGGGGCACAATCCCACTCAAACGACAGCACTGAGTTGAAGCTCATCTCACTTTACAAGCAAAAAAAATCGATTTGAAAAAATGAATGGAGAAATAAAAGAAGAGATATTTATTGAAATTGCTCTATGATATGACGCATAATGTAAGGACTCAGAATTGCGGCAAAGTGGTATAAGGGATACTTTCATTCATCGACACAAAATTTCAACAGTTGTTTGAAATATATTTATTTACAGAAATATTGCACAAAACGAAATACGGAGGTGAGTTATGAGTTATCATATCGATAAGTTAATCACTATCGATTAAAATCGTGTCATTATGATCTGCGGCACTGCTCGACTTCTTAGTGACAGCATTGGAAGAAATGGACGGAAGTTGATGAGAATTCTGATTCGGATTCGACTGAGGTTGGCGGAAGAAACTTGTGATGCGTGCTTGAGGAGGTTTGCTGGTGAGCATACTCTTGGGACGATTTGTATCAGTTGGTCGATGAGGGTTGGTTTGGATGGATGAGGCAGATTTAATCCTCTTGATGTGAGTATTTTCAGACGAGAAAGGTAATTTCCTCCTCGTGCCTTTCTGTTCTGCTTCCAAAGACAACAAAACACGTTTCATCACATCGTTCGGCACTTTTGGACTTGATATGTTCTCAACATTTTCTTTTTCATTTCCTCTCTGTTTTGGCGTATCCCTTTCATCCTCCACTCGACAATCGTCCACCTTGCTAAAATTTCAAACTCTGAAGATTTCTAACTCTATGCTGGTGAAAATATTTTGTAGCATTGAATAAATGAACCGCGAAACAAGCAGAGCAATAATAATTAATAAGTAATACAAGCAATAAAACACCTTGTCGATGGTTGAGGACTGTCATCGAAAAGGAACGCCATGAAACGCTTATCCTTATTTTGATTCTGCTGATCCCGATTCTGACTATCGTTCAGTTTTTTAAAGGGGTTTTTCGAACAAGAAGGCTGATTACGTGCTCTATATGCAGAAGCGATTAGACTTTCAGGGAATTCTTTTGATTCATTCAACGCGAATCCATAAGAGACACGTCTATCTGGACTGAAATTCACACATTTAAAATACTCACATCGAATATTTCGATCGAATTTAGGGAAGTTTTCATAATTCTGTTAAGATCCTCCTTCCAAAATTCTACTGAATTCATCATTTGGAATGAATTTTTCGCTGATAATTTTTAATTTACAATATTTTCCATACTTCTATCATTTATCACTACATTATAATCATGAATATATCGAAAATGAGCAAATTAAAGACAAGCAATTCATACAAACCTATACATGAGTACGGGTTGAAGTCTGCTATCGTTAAGCTTTTCATTCATATTGTTACCGCATAAGGCCAAAACTTCGTCTCTGAGAGCAACGTTCAAAGCTTGATGCGAATTCAACTGAGATTAAATACAGTTACTGATATATATCATCGTTCTGATTAATATTATAACAAAATGAATACGAATCCGTTATTACCTTCATATTGAGATCAATAACCTTCTTTTTCGTCACATCCCATTGCGCTTCAACCTTTTTGAGATTTCTCTTCGTTTTGTGCAGTTCTCTGAATCATTTAATTGACCTCACCTTCGATACTTATTTGATAAAACTGAATGGAAATGGAATGAATAATAAAAAGTAACAAAATTACAGCAACCTCTAATGTCATACCTCCTTAAAATATCCAAAAATTTCGCCGCATCCGGTTGAGCGTTATCACCGATTAAGTCATCGATTAGTTCCAGTACATTTGCTTCGGGTGTCGTACCAGTTAATGTTTTATACCTAATAATCGGAAAATATTATTTTTTGAAACTTTTGGAATATCGCATGGAAATTTNTTTTCAAACGAATTTTTCGATAGAAATGAGAAAATAAAACAAACAAAGCGGATGCTTTAAGTCGACTTTCGTACTGCTCAATTTTCTTCTGTAAAAGCTGTTGATCCTGCAGCATCATCTCTAACACTTGCGTCGTTTTTAGTTGTAATTCTTGTCTTTTCGTCTTTTCTCTTTCTCGTTCATACTGAAGTTTTATCCATTTATTCATTACTGTTATCATTGGTATTACTATTAGTTTCAATAAATATCAACTCACCNGCTCAATTTTCTTCTGTAAAAGCTGTTGATCCTGCAGCATCATCTCTAACACTTGCGTCGTTTTTAGTTGTAATTCTTGTCTTTTCGTCTTTTCTCTTTCTCGTTCATACTGAAGTTTTATTCACTTATTCATTACTGTTATTATTGGTAGTTTCAATAAATATCAACTCACCAGTGCCTTATACCTTTCTTTGGCCTTCGCCGATTTCTGTACTTCAGCTTGCGCTTTCGAATAATTCTCTCTTAAAAGATTTGATTCGATCTCAGCCCTCTCCAACTGAAACTTGTAAATTTAATGAATTATCGTATTGATGATGATATTCAGATGACGATAATAACGACTGTAATGGTCGAATGATAATTCTAACCTTTACAGCTAGGTCATTGGATGGGTCGCTGGACGAACCCAGAGACTGTGTTGGATCTCCATTATGGAAAAATAACTGCTTGACCATAAAACGTTCAGCTGTTCGTTCACGGCATTCTGGACAAGTCTTAGAAGTCTGCAATTACCCATTCGTTCATTATTATTATTGTTATTATTACTATTGTTATTGTCAGTATTCTACGATCATCAAATGTTACCTGTAACCACTGAAGAATGCACTGATAATGGAATGTATGACCGCAGTGCAATGCAGATATCTGAGAGGATATGAACGATGACAAACATATTGGACAACTACCGAGTAGTGATGACGACATTCGCTGAGTTTGTTAACAAATCTGTAACATATCAACTATCATTCAGTGCTTTTGTTCACAAATCCAATGAATATCCGTGTCGCGACTAGCGCGAATAGCTAGCATGTAATGATAGATAGTACTCAAAACAAGATAAGCAAATAAGAGATCGAGTAAAGGACAGATAGTATACTGGTGTAACGCTGGGCTTTGAGGATCCGATCTGTTCAGAGGGCGTGAGTTCGATTCCGCGTCGGTCCAAAATCTTTGACAAAAGTTTGATCTCATTAATGAGATAAACAAAAGAATATCTCAATTTAAGAAATATTCAAAAAATCTTACGATTCAAAAATTCAAAATCGTTAGATTCCACAATCCGAATTCCATCACTCGGCGAACTGTCACTCCTTTCGTATTTGGCGAATTGTCAGAGCATTTCTACTGCGCACATCCTCTGTGAATTCTGCACAGCGCGGGTGAGTGTTACAGGCAAATGAATTTTACTAATTTACGCAAAAACCAAAATGAATCTGTAAAATTCACCCGAAAAAATGCAACTCACCCGGCAAATCTGTAAAATTCAACCTCACTAGAACTCACCCGCTTTCGCTGAGTTGCCACACGAACTGGCTGAGTTGCCACTACAGCCCACCCACCTACAGAAAACCTATCAAACTTTCACTGGAAATCATTTATTCATTAAGATGTCTATTATTTAATGAGATTTCGGCAAACTGAGAGTGAAGAAATTAAAAAATAAAAAATGAAAAAAAAGAAAAAATATATACCAAAAAAAATTTAAAAAATTAAAGAATGAAAATTAAAGATTGAAAAATATGAAGAAAAAAAATTTTAAAAATTAAAGAACGAAAAAATTATGAAAAAGATTCAGCGATAAAAAATTAAAATATGAAGAAAGAAGCGGATGTAACATTCTAGAGTGTTCATTACTAGGATTATTATTAATCGATTATTAATCTGTTTCGGAATTGGAATGTAAATATTCGAGATAAGATATGATATCCGTGATTTTCCGAAAGTGCTCCGTTTGTTCTTAAATTTAAATAAATCTCCGAGTTTCCTGAATACCTCACCTACAATAAAGGGGATTATTCCTGTTGGATTACTACAATTGAAAGAAAGGTTATTGATATTGCAAGTGAGTAATTGAAATGAGTAAAACACAACGCAATGATGTTCGATAAAAAGTTTATTAATTAACATATACAATTAATTGTTAAGTCAATAAACTTAGAATATCAAACACCCAGTTTTATATTATCAACAAGAACATATGACTTAAAGATTAATCAATACCACAGATGAGATCGAAGCAAACTCTAATCGTAATAGTTATTCCACCGGATGAACGGATAAATGAGTGAGGATATCGCGAGTCTGTCGTTTAACATCTCGCAGATCATCCGTTTTACAATGGCACGACCAGTTTTTGTAAGGCGAGACAAATTCAAAAACAAATAAACTTTCTGAACAACATAACAACCTATAAAACGAAATGAAATTCTGCTACTTTTCTAAATTTTTCATCAATTCCTCGAAAATTTTATTTCTTAAAATAATTTCTATGGACATACTGCCAGGGATTGCTGGAAGACGCTACAATTTTTGAGAGCTGAAAGTGCGTTAAATGACCAGAATTGGTATGAACAATGATTCATTTTTCCAAGAATCAATATCGCACAGTTCACTTACAGAAGAGCGCAATACAACAAGTTTAACAAATGAATAATCCATTGAAAGTTCTAACAAAAAGCTCAATATGAACAAATAAACAATTTACAAGTTACTGATTAAGGTATTGAAGCAATGAGAAAAGAGATCGATTAAACAGATAGATTATTAAAACACGATATTTGTTTAGTATTATAATTGTTAATACTATTATTAATATTAGTGCAGTTATTCTTATTTTTACAAGCAACACTAATACTACAATCATTATTATTGACATGAACAGATGAAAGAAAGCACGGACAAAAGTTACTTCTCGATGGATCACCCCACCATTTGTAAAATCTTGCTATCAGTGGAATCTGAATCCGATTCTCCAACCTGTAAACTTTTAAGTTAAATGACAACAGCAATGAATAAAATATTAGGTCTAGTAGAAAGTTCTCGGGCAGCTACGCTGGCAAACTGATATAATGAAACATTGCGTTTCATTGTAGAGTTTTTGTATCTAGTGTTATACGTCGTTTTGTAGCCCATTTTCTGCGCTATCCGAATACACCCATACTTGGTCTTCATTCTTTTAAGTTGGAGACTTTAGGAGCATTGAATCAGGGCTATGGATAAGATGATAATTCACG